ACACAGAGTTTGAGGAGGTGATGTATTTGCAGACAGTCAATGCCAAAGGATGGAGGAATCCAGTTAGTCATGAATTTCTAAGCCAGTAAAAGATCTCTTTGGATCTTTCTATTATCTTTGTCCGGTAAGGAGCAAAATGAAAAGAGGTTAGCAGTCTGGGAGGAGGTAGATTAAAACTCATTTTCAAAATCCCTCATATACCTACCTATAAGGGATAATGCAGTATTTCATCCTGTTTGTTTGTTTTAAAGATTAAATTTCTGTATCACAGTTCCTCTATTAAAATCTAAACTTAACATTAAGAATATTTTTTCTTTTTTTTGTGGCTGGCTGGTATGGGGATCCGAACCCTTGTCCTTGGTGTTACGAGGCTGTGCTCTAACCAACTGATTTAAACATTAAGTTTCTTGAAAAATAATACAGGCACAAGTTAAAAAAAATCATACAGAACCAAAGGGTACAGAATGAAAACTAAGCCTTTCTCCTACCGTGACCGCAGTTCACCTCCCTGTTAGCAATCATTAACAGTTTCTAGTGATTCCTTCCAAACATAACGTGTGAATGTTCCTAAAAACATACAGGAATAAATGTGTATAGATAACTATAGCAATACAGTATATCTTAGTAGAAATAATCACCCCATGGCATCCCTCCTCCCTTTTTTACACAAATGCAGGTGTACTTTTCCCATAATTCTGCACTTTGCTTTCTTCATTTATTGATATCTCTTGGAGATCACTCTATAGCCATATATGTACATCTGCCTCATTTTCTGTATGGTTATATGACAGTCCACTACAAGTATACTGTACTGTAGTACTATATCTTACCAGTCCCTTGTAGCCAGACATTTAGGTTATTTCCTCTTTCTACTACAAACAATGCTGCAATGAATATTACTATACTAGGTCTTTGTTCACAAAGAGTTTAACAGTTTGCTATGGGTTGAATATTTGTCTCCTCCAAAGCTCACCTTGGAACGAATCCCCAACATGGTATTTGATAGGTAGGGCCTTTAAAAGGTGGGTGATTGAATCCTGAGGACTATGCCTTCATGAATGGGTTAACCCATTCACAGAATTATGGGTTAATGGATTAATGGGTTATCAGGGTAGACAGGGGTCTATATAAGGAGAGCAAGTGAGGCACTCTTGCTCGGCCCTCACCATGTGATATTCTACTCCACCTCGGGACTCTGCTGAGAGCCCCCACAAGAAGAAGGCCCTCACTGGACATGCTTCCCAGCCTCCAAAACTGTAAAATATAAATTGTTTCTTTACACATTACCCAGTTTCAGGTATTCTGTTATAAGCAACAGAAAACAGATTAATACAGTTAAGAGATATATACAGGTATATTTTTAATCACCTTACCTAATATTTCCCATCACTTTCCCACTCCCTTCACTAAAGTGTATATTCTGGGGTCTTGCCCATGCCTTTTCCCACCCTGACTCTTAGGGCTTTGGGGAGAATTGGCAGAAAGAGAGAGGTGAAGTAGTATACTGGAGGGGTTTGCATATTTTGCTTGGCAGTGGAGATAAAGAACAGAATGAGGCTGGGAATTCGCCCTTAGATGACTAAGATGACTTAGACCAGGGTTTTTCAGCCTTAGTACTATTGACCTTTTGGCTGGATAATTCTTTGTAGTGTGTGCGTGTGTGTGTGTGTGTGTGTGTTGGGGGGGGGCTCTCTTGTGCATTCCTGGCCTCTACCCACTAGATTTTGTAGTGTGTGCGTGTGTGTGTGTGTGTGCGTGTGTGTGTGTGTGTGTTGGGGGGGGGCTCTCTTGTGCATTCCTGGCCTCTACCCACTAGATGCTAGCAGCCCCTCTACCCAGCTGGGGCAATGGGCATATTTCTCTCCAACCCCCCAACCACTGCTCTAGATAATTTATTAGTGGTAAGTTAATCACTGAACATTCACCAAGTATTATTAAGTAACTAGTATCTGGGGTCTGAGGGTTAATAATCTGGAAGACAGCAACAGCCACCTGAGAGGTCTTGCCTGCATATTGCCTCTGGTAAGCCATTTCCCCTACCTTCTTTTCTTCTGTTCTACCTCTCATTACACAACACAGTACTTGAGCACAGTCTCACTGTAAAATTTTCAAATAATACATTAACTTCATCACTCCCAACTTACTGGATTCCCTAGGAGTAATGACTATTATTTTAAATTTAGAACTTTCCCTATGCACTTGCATACCTATTTTAACTTACAGAAATCAGGTGTTTTGTTTATTCACTTTATGTTTTGTTGAACTTGATTTTTTTTCAATTAACAATCCAATGAACAATTGGAGACCATTCCATATCTGTATAGTTCTACTTCATTCTATTTAAAACTGCTGCATAGTATTCTGTATTACATGTATATCACCGTTAAACAATTTGCCAATTGATAAGCATTAAGTTTTCAGTTAATTCTTCTAACAATGCTCACAATGTTGCAGTACATGCCTTTGTAAACAAATGTGGCTATAAACCAAGAAGTGGTATTATTGTTTTGAAGGATATCCACAATCTTAATAGATACTGCCAAATTGCCTTAGAAAAAGAGCTGTTCACTGAAAACTCCTTCAAATGTGATTACGAGTAGCCATGTCCCCCATTACAGGCCACCTGTGTTAAATTACCAACCTGTAAATTTAAGATTTCACCAATCTACTCACATTAGGTTTCAAGTTGGAGGGTCATCTTGTAAAATGCAAATCTCTTAGTCCACCTTTTAAACTCCCTTCAGGGGGCCGGCCCGTGGCTTACTCGGGAGAGTGTGGTGCTGATAACACCAAGGCACGGGTTCGGATCCCATATAGGGATGGCCGGATCGCTCACTGGGTGAGCGTGGTGCTGACAACACCAAGTCAAGGGTTAAGACCCCCCTACCAGTCATCTTTAAAAAAAAAAAAAATTTGATAAAGTTGCTGCAACCTAGCCTTCATCCTAACCATAACAAACAAAAAAAACAAAAAACAAACAAAAAAACCCCCCACTCCCTTCAGGGACTTTCCACCATCCTCAGAATAAAGTCCAAATTCCTTAGCATGGCTAACACGGTATTGGAGCTTTCTCTTTCCAGAAAACGTTCAGCGGCTTCTCTCCTCTGGCAGAGTTTCCCCCGTTCCCGCAGGGTCCCCTGACGCCTGTTTCCTGGTTTGGGGAGCACTCAGCCCAGCTCAGTGCGCGTCTGCTGAATGGGTGACGGCGAGCAGGGATGTAGTCTTGAAGCAGGGAGAGCAGGGAGCAGCGTTTTGATCATCTCTGACCCCAGCCCTCGGAGCTCAATCAATGCCGAAAGAGCGCGGCTGATGCGGGAGTGAAGCTTTGGGGGACAAGAAGGGACTTTACCATCACTCCAATCTCGGCCCGGCCCCGTGCCGGCAGGCGAGAGGGCATGGCCTGCGTCCAAAAGGTGGCTGCCAGCGCCCCTCTCTCCTTCCAGCCCGGGCTGGGCCGGCCTGCTCGGCTTCTCTCTCCCACAACAGAGACGCTCCACGTGCTTCATTTCCAAAATTCTCAGCAAAACGGAAGACTCTTTCGCCTGGTCACATGCCTGGAATGAGGACGGACCCGGGCGTGTCAGTGCCTAACGAGTTGGAACCCAAACTATTTCCATATAAAATGCTCCTGGTGACCAACAGGGGGCTCAGCAAAATACTAAGGGACGTGGACTGAAGCAGGCTGGGGCGCCGATTAGCTCCTGAAGTGCTTCGGAAAAATTTTGGGCTGTCCCTATAGGAATTTGACTAGTTACCTTTCAAAGGCGTAACAACATGAAGAAATAAGCTCCCCACACCCACAGCAATTAGAAAACTGAATGACAATGGTGGTGACGTACAGGATGTTGCAAAAAGCCCAAACTTGGTCGGGCTTTGTAAAATCCCGTTCCTCAGCAACAACGAGGGAAAACCTCATGGAAACACCACGAGCCGGCCGTCGGGCCAACCTGCAGCAGCACTTGCCAGAAACAACCGGGTAGAAATGCATGTTCTTAAACTCAACAGTAGTTTCCACATGCAACCTTGTTATAGGATCTTGCGTACGCAACGGGAGCTACTCCTTGCCTTTCCTTTAACAGTTGCCCAGCAATAGTGCTAACGATAAGAGCCAGCAAGTGCCCTTAGGCTGCCGCACGGAAAAAAAAAAGTTGTAATAAAAAGAAGAAAAAAAAAAACCCCGGGAAACTTTGCCACTTGGTTCCCTGGGTACCAAACTGTGCGGAAAAGGCGGGAGAGGGGGCCTCAGGGCCGGGACCCAACAAGTGGGGAAAAGAAAGGAAAGAGGGCAGAAGCCGGAGTCCGGACAACCTCGTAACCGCCCCAGAGGGCAGGGCGGCCCAGCGCCTCGGTCTCTTTGGAGCAGTCCAACCCCCGTGTCAATCAGCTCCGAAAGAGGGCAGAAGCCGGAGTCCGGACAACCTCGTAACCGCCCCAGAAGGCAGGGCGGCCCAGCGCCTCGGTCTCTTTGGAGCAGTCCAACCCCCGTGTCAATCAGCTCCTTCCGGCATTGCGATTGGTCGAAGGCTTCCTTGGCCTACCAGGCACCCACCTCCTAGTTGCTTGGGGTTTACTTCCCCAAAGCACACGGGTCTTACCTTTTGGAGCAACCGCTCCTGCATTGAAAACGGATCTCCGCCCAGAGGAAAACGTTTCAACGAATGAGAGCAGCCCAGCGTACTTACTGGCTGTCATGAGTATCGATCAAAGAACTTCCCACCCTCCTTTCCGATGTACCTCTCAGTTATTGGCCTCTCTTACTGCCAATCCGTTACTAGGGGAACAAGATCCTCACGGTCTTATAGGCATGAGCCTAAGTCAATCAAGAGCCACGCCTTCATCCTGAGTGCGTACCCAATTGCTGTTCCAAGAGCCCAGAGGACGAAGTCTGGATTGGCTGTCCGCTCGCCTGGCCTGGTCGCAACATGTTAGGCTGAGTCGCGGGTATATAGACCGGTGGCGGAGCACGCGTGTGTGCGGACGCAGTTGCGTGGGGGTCCTTCATTCCTCAGTGTTTTGGAGAAGAGCTTGTTCCTCTCCCGCTCAGCCGCGCAGGTACGCCGGGGCGTGGGCGGGGCAGAGCGGCCTGGGGACAAGGACAAGCTGGGGCGGTGAGAGGTAGAAGAAGTGCGAGTGGCGCCCGCGCGAGGCGCGTTCCCTCCACCCCCACCCCAACGGCCGCAGGCGCGCGCGGCGGGCGGGCGGACGGGCACGCAGCGGCTCCCCGCCCCCCTGCCACTGGAGCGCGTGGCCGTGTCCGCCG